TGAAATTAACTGGTCCTTTGGGTGGAGGGTGTGAATTTGATCCCTGGCCTGATGTCTCTGGTCCTCTACCTGCCAGACCTCAACAGCTCTGGAGCAAGGTGAGGTGATGTTCGCATTTCATAGAATCTTAAATTTGATGCATTAAACAGCAGGGAGACCACAGATTCACCAGAGGGTCATGGTGTCTCATTGTACTTCCAGGGTCTATCCCAGTGTTGGGTGCTGAATGGGGCTCAGGAAATATGCAAATATTACACAATCAGCAGTGATGTAATAGGACCTCAAGTTGGCCTTAAATAACAGTCAGCTCTTCTCTTGGTTATTTCCAATCTCTGTGGAAATAGCTGGGCATCTTGGGGAGTTTCTTGTGTGGCAGGCAGCTGCTGCAGGACCAGCTTGAGGATGGAAGGAGCCACAACTTCCACAGGTCAGAGAAGGATGCCCAATACTGGGGACCCAGGACATGAATACTTAGTCCAAAGCAAAGCCCATGAAGGGACCTCGCAGGGCTTCCGCCCAAGGCACTGAGGGACCTGCCACTTCTTCTAGAAACAGCCAGAGGAGAAGGGCTGACCTCAAGAGAACTGCCTTGGAGGACCTGCTGTATCACTTGCCTTTGTAGCTTCCTCTCTCCTGCTGGTCCTCCATCAATATTGCCTTTCCACCTTCCCCGTCAGCAGTCTCCTGGCGCTGTCTGAGACCTGCTGCTGCCAACCTGTGTCTCACTCACACAGCTGGCCTCTCATCCTTGTCAGGTCATGAGGGAGTCTCTCCAGACCCGGTTCCCCTCAGTTCCTGGAATGAGAGGGGCTGATGTGGGGTCAACTCTCCCCTCCTGGATGTCTATTTAAAGCAGCCAACCCTAAACAAGGAAATTCGGCTGAGAAGGTAGAGCTAACAGTGGCCCCCATCACTTGTTAAAGACAAGTCCTTCCCACTTACCTGCCCACCCCATTCCTACATCCTCCTCCCCACCAAAAAAAAAAAAAAAAAAAAAAAAACCAACTCCCCAAGCTTCAGGACTAGGCTAATCCCAGGCACAGTTCCCCAAAGGAAAGCCAGATGCTTCTGAGGTTGGCTTCAGTGACCTGCTCAAACCTCAGGGCTGAGACATGGCAATGAATGTCCTGCGATGTCTCCTCTGGGACTGCCCATTCTCTCCTCTCCCAGAACCCCCATTCTTTCTGTCTCTCTGAGTTTGACCGTCCTGGGTACCACATATAAGTGGAGTCGTTCTTTCGTATCTGGCTTGTTTCATTGGGCCTTCTTGGACCTCAGAACCTCTGGGGGTGGCGTTTGGGCGGCGACATTTTTGAAATCTGCCCAAGTAATTCCAAAGTGCGGCCAGGGTTGAGGACCATCGCTGATCAAACACGCTGACCTGACTTGAAATACGTGCGGATATTGGGTTTTGCCGGATGCTTCCTTGTTTGATTGATTGATTGATTGGAAGGTGGGAGGAGCCCCACGTGTGCTTCTGTTCTGGGATCTTTTGATCTCAGAAGG